TATATATATAGTGAACTTATTTTACAGTTGAAAATACCATGAAATATTCCAAGTTCATTATTGTTTGATTAATATTCTTAAGATTAATATTTTATACGAAATTATGTTTTATTGAAAAATTCTCGCAATCATATATTCAATAGTAAGAAAATAGGCTTGTGAACTAATAATAATAATAATAATAATAATAATAAATGTAAAAGTGAATAATCATTCAAAAAACCAAGTCCTTCCTTCCAGTTCTGATTCCAGGCTTGTCAACTACTTCGATCGATAGTCATAGTGGAAAGTTTTCCTTCCCCTACTGGAGTATGACATCCAGTGACGACCTACACGTCGACTCAAGATCACCGCCCAATCGGAAATCAATCGGAAAACATTCACAACAATGGAATGGAACAAGCATTCACAACAATAGAACAAGCCAAAGACAAAGAGTGACCATAGCACTTAACCCGCCTGGAAACACGAAACAGCAGGTCGATGTTATTTCCAAGGGGCCGTGTCGTTACCTTCCTCGGCGCACTGCCTGGTGTTGTCCTTCCAGATGTCGGCGCTGACGTCCACGCCGATGGCCCTGAGCCCGTCCGCCGCCGCCTCCACCCACCTCCCCGCCTCCGTCGCCTTCACGCGGTTGCTCTCGTCCAGCTGCGAACCACACACAACTCGGTTTATTTATTCCAGGTGGAAATGGTTATTATTGTTAGTATTGTTATTATTATTATTGTTAGTATTGTTAGTATTGTTATTATTGTTATTATTGTTATTATTGTTATTATTGTTATTATTGTTATTATTATTGTTATTTTTGTTATTATGTTAACCCCTTCGACTCTGCTTCTTAAAAACTTACCTGGACTCTGTTTAGGATCTTTTTTTTACCCCTAAAGGTTTCAAACAATAATTTACAAGTATTTAATGCAGGAATGTTATTTAGAATTATTAATTAAGAAAATGGTGCTATTTATTTGCTATATTTAATATATTGTACTAAATAACAAAGAATAATATAGTATTCTTTGAATTGTATTAAAGAATAATATACCCGGGAATATTATTTCAAACAAAAATTCTACCGTATCCTCAGTACTATACGTAGGTGTCTATTTTACGAGCATGAGAATGAACCAGGGATACCAAATCGTAATAGACAAATATACAAAATTATCACTCAGAAACTGCAACATAATATTACAAAACGGAAAGGAACAGGTTTTTAGAATATTTCCTGGAATTAATATGTCAAATGAGGAGTTTTTTGACTCCAACTGCATAAAAATTAAATTATTTCCAACAAAGAAACAAACTTAGGCAACTGAAAAGATTACAACATACGTGAAACTGGTCGTAAATAGCATATCAAACAGAATAAGTTCATGTGAATAATTTTCAGAATGTTGCGAAACATTTTTTCCCCATGGGGTCACAAACGACACCAAACAGAGTCTACGGCTTAAAAGTACACGCGGAGAAACGTGAAGGTAGAACAATCGGAGTCCTAGTACTCGTATTAGGTTTTTTTTTACTGTGCCGACGTTTTGGCAAGTTATTTGGCCTGGTTTAGGGCTGTAGTTATATAGTTAATAGAACATTAATTGACATATGCAATATGCATTACATATAATACGTATTACATGTGTCAATTAATGTGCAATATATGATATGAGTGGTTAAAGAGACATACTTTGCGAGTAGGAAAGCTCGCATCATGAGATCGACAGACCGAGAAGCTTAATCGTATGAGCAAAATAAAATCATTAATTGGATTGTTGGTGAAGTAGATACCTTTTTTTTATTTTGATAAATAAATAGATATATTGTCAGGTATCAATATTTTAATTCAACTAATGATCATTTCGATCGCGTAGCGATCATCCTCAGAGCTTGCATCTTCTGGGCCGAAAACAAAGTTCTGGGCAGAATGATCATTAGTTGAATTAAAATATTGATACCTGACAATATATCTATTTATTTATCAAAATAAAATTATTTTTACCGCTGTGTCATACACTATTATTTAGTCTTACTGACTTTAATTTTACTTTTTTTTTCAAGTATACAAATACCTTAATGAGATGAGTAAGGTCAGTAGTAGCTTATGTGGATAGGTGAAAGTATTCTGGTTTCGTTATTGCAATCACTGATTTATCTGAACACTTGAGCATTGTCTGGCTTTTAGCACATAATTGAACTTTTAGCACCCTGCGTATGCTCTAAAAGCTACCGTTTTTGCTAAAGCTGTCTAAAATAGTATAAAATGCAACAAAAAATTATAAAGAAAACCTTTATTTCCTAAGAACGTGTTTTGAAAACGAGCGGCGTTAAGATCGAATTTTCTTTGCACGAATATAACAAAGCAACATTGTAAAGACGTTGCATACATGTTGCGGTGTGTACCGTCAACAGAATTTCAATTCTAATAATTAAATTCTTGAACATGTTTATGGAATTCAATAAATAACAACATAACCATTAGTGATTTAAGTTCCGTTCTTGCTAATTTGGATAGTATATACAAGTCTCATATTTGATAATATGACAATTTAATAAGTTATCTGTTTAATTTGGAAAGATGAAACTAATTTTATTTATTCATTTTGCAATGTGAATGAGTTAAATCTCACCCATTTAAGAATGGGTGAAGTTTTAAACGGTTTTGTTATTTTTACAACTTTTCACTAGCAATAATAGTTGTTTTTCAAAATGAAAGAAATTTATTTGATTTTTTCTCATGTACAAGAGCCTCACAATATATGTTTCTGTAGAATGGTAGTCAATGATTACTTTTTCTCAATGAACTTGTGGTGAGAAATTTTATATAACGAAATTACATGCGTTTATGTGCCCCTTTTTGGTAGGCAACTCAATACACACTGATGTTTGGCAGGTCACCTCCTGACGCTGTCAAAGACATTTTGTTTTTCTGTCGAACGCATAAGTACACGAAGGGGATGTACCAAGGGCAAATATCACATGTGTAACAGGGTTATATAAAATGTATCAGCTTATAACCATTGGGAGAAAGCGATCACCTTCCGCAGCATTACTTTCCTAAAAGTTTCTAACATTTGTTTTGAGTCATTATGTATAAATAAAAAATAGATATAAATTGAACTATACTTAAGAAGGAATGATATTTAAAAGAGATGGTCACGATCTTTAATATCACCACCAGTCGATTAACTTTGTCCGTCACCATATCTTTGGTTAATTTTAACTTTATATACATCATTCTTATCACAGTTTAGACGATAACCTTTTAATTTTGTAACGAAACCTGTGCAATAGAATATTCTTTTCAAAACATTTTCGTCCCTAACATATTGGACACGTTTTCATTCAGGTCATGGTTATTTATGCACATATTTTGAGTTTAAAAAATGGCGATTGATGCACAATACTTACGACTCCGTTAGCTCGTATCAAGCAATCCAAGAAACACTGTGGAAAGTGAAATTCAATTGTTATAAATACGAGAGAATTAATAAATGATAATTCAAACTTTGAGCAATAAAAATAGGAAACTATACTTACTTTAATTTTACTATCTTGTTTTAAAATATACTCGCGAAGCTTTCCAACTGCAAGCAAAATCGTCTTATTAAATAAAGAAAACAATTTTCACATATCCTGAAATACAATCAAATGTTTGTAATGCAGTGACACCTCTCTGAAAAATCACAACCTATTAAACGACCAACCCTCTTAACCACCTTATTCTTGGAACGGAGCCTGAATTTCATAATATTTTCCCGCTTATAGGCTAACTCAGACCATGCGTGCATCCTGCTTCAGCAGGTGCAAGTACCTTTATCTGGGGGTGAGGGGGTGATCAGCATTTTAGCCGAATACTGATTTTTATTCCCCAAGGAATTAGCATTCGGGGTATGTGACGATGAGATGATGATGATGGTGGTTATAAAGGATGAAAGGATGATAGATATAGACTTACCCAAATATATAAAATAATATTTGAAATATAAAATAATATAAAAATATATTTTTTTAATAAAAAATATAATTTTGTTTTGAGTATTGCAGTCTTATTTCAATATACATGATTCTCAAGGTTTGAAACTATCAAATACGTAACAAACCAATAATAGAATATCTCTATGAGCGACACTCACTCTCTAAATCAGGGAACTTCTCTTTACACTCCTTGACAGATTTGATGAACATCACGTGAGGGTCCTGGAAACCAATAAAAGTGAGACTAGATTAGTTATTTTCTAATTTAAAAACTTACAAGTCTAATCACGTCTAACATGTATTTTTGATAAAATTTTTAATATCGTTTTTCTGAATCATAAATAAACTATTCGCTAAATGAACAAAACATCCTACTAACATGCACCAACAATCATGACTCTTAAACCTCACTGCAATTGGCTGAAAATTTATCTCTTTTCTAGAGTACTGATCTAACAAAAAACTTTTTTTTTCGAGAACAATATTTAATTTTTCCACATCCTCATTTGATTACCATTAATCATATATATTCAAATTATCAAAAATAGTGTTTGTGTGTCTTTTTAAATTTATAATAATGGATTTTAAAATATCTGAATTTTTGGAGAACATTATTCAATAAAAAATGATTTCCATCCTTGGAACAGCGATGAATTTGCCACCACACTGCAATTGGTATAATGCTGAAAATAAAGACTCGTTCCACATGAAAATTACTTTCTTAATTTTTATCTTAAACTCTATTTTTCAGTTTTTGGTTGAGTTACAACATTATTCCAGAAAAGCGACAATATAATTATGCTTTGTGCGGACTATGCGGCGGTGAAGTTGTCTCGAGTAAGTCGATAGATGAAGTATTTTAAACTCTGTGAATTACTTCAAAGAAAATGACATAGAATATATGGCATATCATTCAACTAACGAGACTCTTCAAGCAAAAAGTGTATTTAGAAAGAGAATGTAAATAAAATAAATAAAATGAAAGAGAATGTAAAGTGTAATTAGAAAGAGTTTTTAAAAAAATGTCTATAAATATTTATGTTAATATTAGTTGTGTATATGTAATTAATATTAATTACATTAATATTAATTGTGTGATGATTTGTAAGGTCTCGAAAGTAGTTCTACATTCTTCGACATTATGAGATAATTATCTCTAAAATAATATAGTTATTTTTTAAAGACACTGCACTAATCCTAATATCTTATCTGTACAAAAAGCGATTTTTGGTGTTTTTTGCGATTTTTCTTCTGAGAATTTACTGTTCGTAGAAGGATATCGGAACAATGCTTATCGCAATACAATGCATTATCGGATGTTGCTGTGTCTTAGGTATAGGAATTCAGGCGTCTCCAAAACTAAACGCCGGTTTCGACGCATTGCAAACGAATTTAAACATTTATAGAGAAGCCCACATTCGTAATTTTAAATTGATCACAACTAAGAAAATACTAATATTGTATATTATTAGATAAATAGACTCGAGATGACTTGCTCATAAAGTTCACTAAAGCATGCCCATGATAGAACCAAAAAAGTAGGGTCGACCATGCCATAGTTCAGGCGAATGCTGGAGCAGACAGGGCGAACATTTACGCATATTCACGGCAGGCAAGTGTCTATGGTGGCAAAATTTTACGGGCGGCAAAAAATATGAACTAAATATGTGTCTATAAATTTTTTAAATTTATAATATGAATAAATTATACATAACAAAACGTACAAAATTAAATACTTTAATTTTGATAATCTGTTTGAAGATGGCACTTTGTTTACATTTTCTAATATTAATTGTATACATCTACATAATTTAAAAAATTAATGGTAGAACAACGGTAGAATAATAAATATGTTTTTAACTAAGAAATAAAAATATGATTAATTTGTTATTTATACATCCAAGTATATTATTTTAAACTTAATTGATTTCCCGTAGAAAACCATCGAACACGCATAAATAATTACTAACACAATTATATTTAATTTTAGTCAAATTTATTCGTCCAATTTTTAAACATCAGTTATACATTTACAACAGAGATTTTCGTGGTTTCCCTCGGTCTCAAGGCAAATGCTGAGATGGTTCCAAAAGCCCACGAACACCTCCCACTACCCCACCTACCACAATCATCCCAGTCTCTCATCTCTCATCATCACTTTATAATAATAATAATAATAATAATAATAATAATAATAATAATAATAATAATAATATAATAATAATTTCCCCTTACTTAATCACAATACAATGTACGTTATTCATTTATATGTACCACTCTACCAAACATGTCAGGAGACCAGTCAGATGCTTAGAGCTGGTCCCAGCTATATTTCGGTTTTTATAACGTGGCCCGTCAGGGCCTGTCTTCACGATGGAATATCTCACGGTATTTCCCGTCTTTCTCGGTGCTGCCGCTAGACGTCGCATGATCGGGACCATATCAAGGCTTGTCTTCACGATGGAATATCTCACGGTATTTCGCGTCTTTTTCGATCGTGCCGCTAGACACATCACTCTGCTTGACACGGTCGCGATCATGTGATATCTAGCTGTACGACCGAGAAAGATGTGAAATGCCGTGAAATATTCCATCGTGAAGACAGGTCCTGACGCGCCACATTATAAAAACAGAAGTATAGGATGACGTATCGCTGTAGGAGATACCTGGAGATGAAAACCCGTATACTGTGAAGTAGGTAGGCGCTGGTTCTCATGAACGCGGGAAGATCACCGCCTGCACAATTCATGTAGTGTACTACACTTACGGGACCGATGCCGAAAAATACCCGGAGTGCCGGGAATCAATATAATTACTCACAAACAAATCTGTCGAACCGTTTAGTCTTGTGAGTGAGATAAATAATTCCACTTAATGAAAATTTCATTGAAACTCTCCAACTACTCGTATATTACGGTCTGAAGAGTTCGATCAAAATATGATCGCATAATAAATATGTAATTCAGTGGTGGCTGGTCCTTAAGAGCCCTAGTGTAGTGCTATCCCCAGAAAAAAAACCTTGAGAAAAGTTGGGGAAAGTATTAAATGTTCAATAAATCGACTCGTTTAATTTATGCATACCAGCAGAGCAATTTTTTTATGACGATTTTAGTTTTAGGTGTCTTGTTTCTACTTCCTCGTGCACAATTGTAACTTCCGTTATCAACGTAAAAGTAGTCTTAGACAATGATTAGACTCCAGATGCGTGCTAATATGTTTTACACTACATGCTGAAGTTTTCCTCGTTCAAGAAATATTTTGAAGAGGGAAAATGTATATGATTATGAAGCATGTTCGGGCTTATACTCCGGTTGCCTCGGATCCAATTCATTATGTATTCTCTGAAAAATACATAAATTGATTTGACAGATGATTAGCTGGGACACTTTTAGTCAGTCGAGAGCTTTAATTTAAAAAAAATGAATTGTAACGAACATCCGTATTGGATAAAAGCGATCTAGCTGATCGTTGTCAAATCGCCATTTGTTTTAATCGGAGTTCAATCAAGGTCGTAGTGTTTAATTTTGAAAGAAGTTCTTTTATTACCATTCTCTGGAGGAAAGTCTATATTAAATTCCCTAGAAGTTAAAGCTCGTTTCAAGCCCTCTTGTGGCTATGAAGGCACTTTAGCATCGTAAAATAGAGATAAAAAGAGCAATTTAAATGTATGAAATAAATAAATAAACTAATGTATAAAGAAATACATAAAAAATAAATAAACGAATACCCATGATTCGTCCGCAGCCTGTCCGAAGGAAGCGACTGTCAGCACCGCCACTGCCATCAACACCAATTCAGAAAACGACGTCATTTCTGCAACTGCTGCTTCTGCCGTGGCTGCTTTTGTACAGTGTGCAGGTGTTGGACCGCCTCAGTGCATTTATATCGAGAGCTCAGTCGCGCATGGACGGTCGGCACCGGAAGGCGCTGAAGGAGACAAATGACGAGCTCCGGACAAACGACTGACGACGGCTGTTGATCGATTGTCACGTCGACGTTGTCCATCCGTGTGATGGCCCTGTTTGCAGCTACGGCCACGCCAAGGCCGGTCGTACAATAGGTGTGATCGGTTGGTGAACAAACCGGACAACGAAAGTGTTCGACAAAGATTTTTATGATAATTTAATTAAACTGGCGGTGCTAAAACAGCACGTTCTTTCTCGGCCTTAGTACAGGTTACATAATATTATTATACCGCAGTTTCTGTCCATATTAATACATCTCAGACATTACTTTGAAAAATCCAACACAAACAATGGAGAATTAGGAACAAAATATATTTTTTAAAGTGAATATATAAATAAATATTCGACAATTAAAACTATGTTTTATGCAGCAATAACATCTCCCAACAATGAGAAATAATTCAGAGAATTTTAATCAGCCTTGTCTTGGCACGGGTTTGTTGTATTCCATTGTGATCTCTTAAGACTAGCAAATGGAGCGTGGGAAGTTCGAATTTTCAAATTCGAAAATTGCAAACTAGGCCAACTACTATTTAAAAAAATGTACATAAACTTTATAAAGAACTGATTTTCTACAACAGACTTCATTTATCAAAAAATATATCATCAATAAACTTTTGCAATGTTAACTTTGCGATTTTCGAAAATACAGAGACGTCGTCGATGTCTGCTCATATTCCAAGTATAACCAAATCTACTCGAAAAATTGAAAACGAGCTTATTTGATGATCCGTTTATAATAATCAGATTTCTTTAGAGAAATGTACAAACTTCATTATTGTAGCTGTAGAAAGACGCCGACAAAATTTTGAACTTTCAAATTTACAATTTCCCAAAATTCAGAATTCAGCAAAAAAAGTATGACATTATTAATAATAATGTTGCAAATTTCAAATCCAAATGTTTCACATTAAAAAGGACGCAAAATTTATCAGTTCCATCGGGGAAAAACAATTTTGACAAAAATTATCCTTGCGTTGGTCACAGCATTGGTCACAGGCGGATATTCAATGTAGTTCAAAGAAACCGAAAGAAACGTGAACTATAGCAAATTTCGAAAAATCAGATATTTAAACTTAAGAGACTTGCACCATTCTCATAAGCGTTCTTTACGCTATCCTAGGACAAAATTTAATCCAAAAACTTTTTGGAGGATTTTTTTAAATTTTGAAAATGTTGTTAAGACTTCGTGTAAAGTAGTCCCAAAATGCAATAATCGATTTCAAATTCAAGGAGCAGCAGTATCAGCCAGATCGATTGAGGAATATCAATTTTGGTGAAAGTATTGTGAGGCAAGGCAAAATCCCTAAAGGGATTTTGGGCATTTGAAAACGAAACTTTAATGTCAAATAACTTGAAAAAAGTAAGGAATTACGCGATGACGCAAATGAAACAAACATTGAGAATTCGAGGCGTGAGAAAATCCAAATATTATTTAGATTAAGGAAATTTTGGGAAACTTAAGATTTTTTTTGAAATAAAGCAGATAAATATTATGGGACATTGTTGACAGGGGACAAAAGGCGTGAGAAAATCCAAATATTATTTGGATTAAGTAAATGTTGGGAAACTTAAGAATTTTTTTTGAAATAAAGCAGATAAATATTATAGGACATTGTTGACAGGGGACAAAAGACGTTTGCGGTGTACAGTTACGGAGTGACAAGAGAGCATCGATGAATAAAGATACTAATAAAACAAGTGAATAGAGGGTGTAAACGAACAATTTTAGTCAGAACTCTGCTGGATTCGGTAGAGAAAGCATCGTTGGACGTCAGGGCATAAATTGAAATATTTTTGTGATTAGTCAGTGGAGATAGAAAATGGACATGTGGTCTACGTATAATAAGAGAGTAGGGAAGTTATTTAAATACAATTTATCAGAGAAAATATTGTAATATTCGTGAGATAATTAGGTCACGAATAAGAGTAGGAATTTGTAAGTTAAAATTAAGTGTGGGCGTAAGAAGAGCTTTAGATGGAAATATGGAACAGTAGTTGGCGTCACTGACAACACCAAGAATGCTGTAAATTCTTCAAAAGGGACGTTTAGGCTACAAGCGGCGGCGATGGTATAACTGTTAGCGTTTCGGACTGTTGTACCCAAGTTGGCGGGTTCGAAGCCGTGGATTTTTTAAAGGAAAATCCTTCGTGCGTCTTCCTTCGGAGGGGAAGTAAAGCCGACTGTCCCATGTTAGTAGATTTACGTGCATGTAAAAGATCCTCAAGCCTCAATGACGCCTCTGAGCTAAATTCAAATCGCTTGTTTCGTCGCCCAAGAAATACCTCCTTTCTCTGCTAGTTGGTGAAAGGAGCGTAGCGAAATTTGCGTGGTCAGACGGAAGAGCAGGCCTAATAGCCTGAGTCTCGCCACGTAAAATAAGGCATTAATTCAATTCATAAGTGACACAAAGATATTACTGAAAATATTTTAGCAAGGTCAAGTTATGTTTAGATATCAGTTAACATTAAGATTGAGAAAAAAATGTTGTGTATAAATTCGACGGCCTTCAAACAGAAACTGTAGAGGAATATAAAGAGATATTGTTGAACGGTAAATTAATTAAAAAGGAATTTTAAATAAATTAATTGCGGCAGCCGACACTTAATGTTGCTGGCAATTTGTAAACAAAATTTGTAATTTGTTTAACTTATCAGTAACAGAAATGACAAAAATTTCCTAACGATAATTAAATTATTCACCGCCAGAATACTCGTGTGAGCGGTATTTTCAGGCCCACGAAAACAAGAGTAGTGCCCTAAGAAGCGCAAGTATGCTGGCGCCCAGATATTAAATAAATACTAGAGATAGCCACTTCATTAAATAAGAAAGTATTGTAAAATTGTAAATATTATTCAAGGAATTAAGATTTATTTCAATGACAATATGAGGCAGTAAAATACAGTAAATAGTTTAAAGTAAATTATTAAAAGGAGAGAAATATTCGATTTACTTCACTTGCTTCTCGTGTAGACGCTAGGTTTTCCACAGACAGAAGGCCGGTCAGAAATTTTACCCTAAACCATTGTTTCGGAATCAAGAATCCCCACCAAACGTAAATGCTGACTACACATCGTGCTAGAGGACGTAATTTTTTTTACGTAAAGGGAATAAGATTTATCCTTATTTGTCATTACCGGAGCTCCGCAATAAAAGTGGAAAATCTCCTGTTCATCCCGCAGAAAAATAATACTTTCTCTATGCTGCGTACGCAGTACGCGAGAAAATAAAAATATCAATTATACAGAATCGAAAGGAAAATAAACCATCACCTTAGTTAAAATGTTCTGTAAATAGTGCATCTTGTAACATTTTGTACAAAGTTAGTAAAAAGGGGGGCCGAAATGTGCTTTTGGCTTTTTCGCGCTCTTACAAAGCGACAAGTTTGTAATCAGTTACCATGACAACAAGTTTGAATAAAAAATATTTTTAGATATCCACTGATAAAAGCCGACTCATTGAGATCTTGCGTAGCTTGTTAAAAGTTCAATTATTAGCATTAGTACTAAAAGTGAGACAATGCTCAAGAGTTTTGATAAATCTGTGAATGCAACAAAGAAAACAAAATACTTTCGCCTGACCGAATCAGCTACTACCGGTCTTAATACATCATTAACTGATTTGTACACTTGAATTAAAATAAAATGAAAGTAAGGCTGTCTAAAAAATTATGTACGCCACACACGATAAAAGTGATTTTATTGAGCGTGTAAAATTGCGCCACACGGCCTGCCAGTCTCCTGTCGCCGCCTTTCCTACTCCCAAACTTCTCTTTTACCATTCGTATTATAAATAACTATTTTTTAAGATAAAAGGTTTTAAATATTCAATGTTCTGAAAATAATGGTTTATATGTGGAATACTGTAAGAATAATTTGAATGGTATATTAGTTTAATATTTACGTGGTGACTATTTGAAATGCATGAATTCGAATCGTTGTGTGAGATCGGTTCGAGTTGTGGTAACGTATTGGCTACGGTTCTGTTAAAAACGTAATAATTTAAATTAAGAGTTATTTAAATGGGGGGTTTTAATACGCTACGCCAGACAGAATATCCAGGCTTAATTTCATGAATATTTAAGTGCAACGAAAGCAGATATATGAAGTATGACAGATGCAGCAAACTGGACACTTTGGTAAGCCCCCTTTCTGTAATTAATGTCATCAGTGAATCCCTCACCGAAAGGTGCAAATTATTAATATAAGTAAATATTAATTAATATTTAATTTTTTTAATTTCTTAAACTATTTTATTTCACACATTTGTAGCTTGTGTGGATATATGTGAAGACAGAAGTTATCTAATGCTGGAAATAATCGATATGGAAATTTTGATTTCAATGAACTTATCGGGGGGGGGGGCAGATAGGTACACAGTGTTCTTTTTTTCTAAACTTCTTTCTATTCGTGAGGATCACAAACCAGCTTCTAAAATTTACTCTTAGTTTTTCCCAAATTCATTTGGCTGGCTAAAGGCCTGCAAATTCGAAATCTTTTAATTTAGGGATACTTTACATTAACCCCAAAGTATTGTCAAAATTTTCACAAAATAGGCTAAAAATTATTTCTGTAAAATTTTTGCTAGAACAGTGGATAGAATGTACTGTAAGTAAAAATGGCGCATGTTCAGTCAACATTCTGGAATTTCGAAAATTACAAATACTTCAAAATTTTTGAACTCTCTCCTGCAACAATACTATTAAACATAGATATTTTCTCAATAAAATTTATTCTTTAACATTTATTATTTAAATTAAACATTAAATATTTAAATTATATCATGCACAGTTGTTTTAAGGAATACTTAATTTCCACGTGCTTCAATGAATTCGGGGCAATTATAAAAAATATTTAAACAGGACTTTAACAAAAAAAAGTCTCTATTTTCCTTTCTCGTGTATGTTAGTATATAGGGAGTACTATATGTAATACAAGAGAAAGAGAATAATCTTTTCGCCTGATAGAAAACTGTCTAGATAAGAAACTTGATCCTACACCGACCACTAAGCTCGGCGGATAATGCGGCTATTGTGGATAGCTCTACCGATAGGAAAAATTCCGATGGGGTAAAATACCCACAGGGAATTTTGGTTTTGGGTGAGAGAATTCCATAAACGTCAAATTCCAGGAATTAACGAAGTTTATCTGTTTTGCGTACATTTAAAACACGATCAACTATGTTGCACGATCGTCCTAACAGTATTGCCATTTTACATTTTATAGCGACAGGACTGACAAAATCGATTTGCAAAATATGTTATAAGAATTTATATCATAAAATGGAAATTACAGTGCTGTTTTTGCATTGCAAAAATGAACTCTGCTGAAGTTACATAAAATAAATGTAATAACAATTTTTTGATAAACATGACAATTTGAAACATTGTTTTGTATATTTCCCTTCATGTACATTTGCGATGGGAGATAAAGGGGGACCCCCAACAGTATCAACTACCCACTTGGTCTTCATACCAATCGCCTGCCCTCCCGAGGACAATGGTTCCATGATGGGGCCAAGGGATTCTATGGGCAAGTATGTAAAGGTGCTAGCCCACATTGTCGACATAGACCTAAGAGATATTCGGGGAACCTGAAGGTACTATTCTTTGGGAATATACTCACGGCAGCGAGGGGACCTGGTAGATGTTTTATGTCCAAAAGTAGTCGTTTAATTAATGTTAAGAAAGTCTTTTATGAAAATATGAGTAGCTTTCTCGCAATTTTGAGTGAAATAAAATAAATTTTAGAAACAAATTCTCTCTAAAAGTCTTCAAATTGTTTCTTTGAACTTTTGGTGTGTAGGGCCAAAAGCTCTGAATAAATGATAAATTCTTTACATTTTTCAAAAACTACTCAAATGTATTTGTTGAAATATCACTCACGGACATAATAGTATTTATATTACGATAATTTTTTATACATTACATTTGTGAACTCAAATGCTTCAAGTAATTGTTGATGAAGATTCTTGAAGAATGAAAACTTTTTGTGTAAATAAACTCAAAATTGCGCTTTTTTCGGAAACGCTCAATTGAGGTTTTTTTAAAGACCGGCCACAAATTTTTCAATAAAAATTTGCGTACAAAAACAGTTTTACTTCATAATATTATTAATAATATTATATAATTTATTAAAGACGTATTTTATTATTCAACTATTACAGGAGTGAAAAATGGAGAAGTGCGAAAAAAAAGTGTTTTAGGCGCCAATAGGCTGAAGCTGGAAAGGGGGTGACGAGAAACCGGAAAGATAGACCAGTATATAGATAGGAAACGTTTTAATTCGAGGAAATCAGTGCTATTCTGTTAAACCCCGCATTCATTTATTTTTATTGAGTTGAACAATTCGGCCACTACAGTACGGGCAACGACTCTGGCAGTTCAATGCGTTGTTGCCGCACATTACTACTCGCATGGCACCACCTATATCAAAGGTAAATTAAATCTCAAAACATTAATACTTTTTGACAGGTTATGACACGTCTTCATAGTCTGTCAGCCTTCATGCAGCTCGTTGCGTGTATTTTGCAAATATACATTCCCGCCTGAGATATGGCAAAATATTGTGGGGAAACTCATCCAGTAGTATTACTCGCGCAACTTTTCTTGAACGATGGATTGAAGAAAAGCGGGTAGAGTAGGGATATTAGTTACGAAATCGGCCACTAGATTTTATGAAGCAACGCTAATCTCTGGAGAATCAGTCATGCCTTCGCAACTTTCTCAATAATTTGCATTCTATCTTTCTCAGGAGCTCGAGGTATCCCCTGTGACAGATCTTCACCTACTTCGGTCATTTCTTTCGACTTTTTGGATAAAATCACAGAAGTTCTCGTCTTCAACATAAAATAGTTTCTATTTCGCGCCAGTAAATGTGTTTGGAATATTGGCATCAGAGCTGGCTGCGAGCTTTTACCTTCAACTGTTACTTGTGCCAAAGAAGAGGGAGCTAGATCATCGTTCAAGAAGAGTTGTGCGAGTAATACTCAAATCTTTAGATTGCAAAGGAACATTGTTCGAGTAATGAAAAAGTGCCATAAACGTGATTTCTACATCCACTCTTCATTGAACTCGGAATCGCATCGTTGCCGTGCCTATTTATTTTCGAATATGTATTTTTTTTCAAAACTAACTTATTAAACGGTGAGAACATTTTAATTCAGTAATGATATTTATAATTACAATACACGTCGTAGAAATCACAATCATCAGGTATCCGTATCAAAAGCTCGTACAAGAAATCCGCATACATTACATGTATGTTATTTTACAACGCATTGTTAGATGGGATTAAAAAATTAAAGTCGGCACACAAATTTAAGTTAAAAGTAAAATCGTTTCTGCTGCATAACTGTTTCTGTACAATTAGAGACTTTACTGATTAAAAGAAAACGAATGTTTATTTAACAAACCAGTGATAGATAATGAATTAGTTTACATTTGTATTGTATATTTTTTTTAAATACCTAATATGCTTGTAAGAAGTAATATACTTCAGCGTCCGGGTCAATAACCTCCATCTCGATCAGGTTTTTGTCCAATTTCCCTGAGCAAATGCTGAAATGGCCCCTTGTTTTGCTTCCGGACAGAAATATAGCTTCACTATGCGCACATTTTGTTGAACTCTCCTTTTGCTTGTAGTGGTAGTGGTAGGAGTAGAGGTAGGGTGAATTGCTATTTTGTTCGCAATACAGAGTAATAAAATCTGGAGTTCGTTTGCCGATGCAAATAAGTTTTATATAACTCTGGAAAGAAAATATCTAGTTTTCTACAAATGCTGCTAAATCCATGTATTTTTCAATTTTATTATTTTTTTAAAACTTATTTATTTTTCAACTAGAATTCAAATGTTGGGAAGCGATTCTGTAACTCAAGAAAACGTGCGTAGTTGATTTTATCCCCATAAGTCACATACAGTTTCTACTGTTTTTTGACTAAATAAAATCAATTAAGATGTTCATTCGCCAAAGCCGAACGTTATCGCCTCCCCGATTTCGTGTGAGTTTGATGAGCGGCAACGCTGAGCCCTGGCCGTGAGAAAGTAAACAATTCCTCGCAAGCTGATTGCTTCAGAGCAGATCACATGACATACCACAGCACGTGGCGAGAAATTTTGTCAGAATCGCGTATACACTACCAGTACTGTAATACATTCATTTCGTTCAGTTTTGTGCAAAACTATTTTAAAGATAAGAGAAGCTATTCGTTTCTCGCTTTTTTCATTCAAATAGAGCAACCTGTCACTATATTTACTACTGTACTTCTCAGTTCTCGTATTTGTTACTGATTTAATAGTTTTTTTATTGAGAGTTGTAAATCGGGGGCATATCAAACTCGTTAGCGTAATCTAGTTGCCCGTCTTGGAAACGTTCCTTGGAGGAACGGGAACGGATTCCCATACTCCGTGCTTCCCCTGATTTTGCTTGTATTTCCCCTCCGCATCCAGAAAGGGGTGTACACGCTCAAGCCGTAGCGGAGAAGCAATGTTTTGGTTTTAATTTGTTGCCTCTTCGTTAATGTCACGCATCTCTGAACCATTGTTGAGTATTGGTATAGAGTAATCCTCCGTTATTTACGTCAAATGTCGTTTCGTCGCAGTCACTCCCGTTTATCCCTTCGGACAGGGTCTCAGCACAGTTAGATGTCGGGGTTCCCGGGCGGTCACCCAACCAGGAACCCGCGAAGTATAGAATTCGCTTAATCTCCGTGACTTCACGGAGTATAGTAAACGAATACGGCCTGGTAACACCGGCTACGTTGCCAAACGTACGATAATTCGTTATGATGTACGTACGTTACGTTATGATATCGTACAAATTCTCTTTGGCGAAGAATGCAATTTTACCCTGCAGTGCTCGCACGCGCACTATTTTGAGTATGCATCTTTTTTTCTCCTGCTTTTTAAAATGTTCCACCTTACGAATCGCGTTTTCAATAGATCATCATATTCCTACAAACAGCTGTTTTAAATCATTCTTTCGTTTGTTTTGACTAGTATAGTCGTTTTAGAGAAATCAGCAATTGCGGACTCTCGGTCCGACGCGAATACTGGCGTTACATTGTTGCTTTTAGTTTCAATATTAGGTGAACTACAGAGAATCCATTCACTCTTACCTATCTGGAAATATAACCTTCCCTCTCTCCCTCCCCCCCATACGCACATGTCACCAACTATTGATTGCCAAACTCATTTTTTTATCAAACTAACAATCCCGAACCGAATGTGTATTGACAGAGCTGAGGATGATTTAACCTATAGTGTTATAGTTATCTTACAACGCCTTTGAAATGCCGAGCAAGAAGAAATAAAATTAAAAAAGGTGAGTTGTTGACACTACGGTGCTCATTGTTGAAATGCTTGTTGCGGTAAAAATGTCAACGAATATATTTATTTATTGTTTCAATTAATTTATTTTTCTCTTGTCTAGAATGGAATTCAGCGACTGGCCTGGCTTTTCAAACGAAGTGCCAGTGAATGTGGTCACGTGGTTCGCGATGTATTTAGAGCTGCGCAGAACGAGCAAAAACCGGTGCGGCGGAGCAGCGCACCCATGTCCTTGCTCAGTGTTGCCAGGTTATGGGTTTTCCCCCTAAAATTAGCAACATTTTTGGCGGCAAATTTATTTGGGGTATTCGCAGAATTTTGAAAATGTTAAATCAATCGTATCTACTGGGTATCATATAATCACAAAACAAAAAAAAATAGTTTTGTATGATTGTTTCAGGTATATTTATTCCAATATAACTAAGCATAGAAAAATACTTATCAGCGTGGATGGCTTCCTGGGTGATTATCAAAATGTCGCACCGACTGCGCTAATGTTGAAAAAGTTTAACAACGAAATCATGTACGAGTCACAAAACATCTGACGGTTTGTTGATTTAAAGTCTGAAATACGAATGAATAGCTGGTGGTAGTACACAGCGGACTAAATTTGATTCGATTCTCCGTTTTGATCTTAAAAGAATATTCCTACAATATCTGTGATTCTATGTGACACATAATATATGAATTAAGAAATCGCACTACAAAATTTAACAGTGCACTTGAACCCTGTCTTCGCTTTGGTGTTATCACTGCATTTGTGTATTTCTCGGCGTGCCGTTAGATGTGGCATTATCGCGTCTATCAACCATTACTTGATACGGTCGCGACATCTAGCGGTATAACCGAGAAAGACGTGAAACACTGACATTTCCAAGTATCACGATGAATGGTCGCTTCTAACAAAAACAGATTTGCTGGATGTTTTCTATCAAACATACAAGATTTGAATGATTTTTATAACTTTATTACTTAATATTTTATTCCATATTTATTATATTAAATCTCTACTTTTAAAAATATAAATTGTAGTTGAGAAAAGACGTAAGGCAGGCTAAAATCATTAAATGACGATTAGGATATTTTGAACTCAAATATCAAAAAGAAAGTAATGTGACTTATAGTAAATAATACAACTACATGAACTCAAAACCTTGTAGAGAACATTACTTTATATGATAACGACAGAAATGTGAACTATCCGACAACAATGGCTAGACTCTTCAACATACATTTTTCGAGAATTGCTTAGCGCATTATGGATTGCCAGCAACAAAATTCAACATCAGAAGTTTCCCCAAAATTTTAGACGCGATGTTCGTTTCCGAAAGTTCTTTCTTTGAAATTCTCAAAATAATGGGTAAACTAAAATAAAATAGATTGTCAAAATGGATTTTAAAAAAATAAAAATAAACGGAAAAAGCCATATTTTCTTCTCTTAAAGATGTCGCTTTATGCACTTCAATTTAAAAATCAATTTATTCGTTTCTTAGTAAAACGTGTCTGGTAGTGCACAAAGCTAGCGCATAAACCATTCAGCCGATTTTCTCCAAAATTGATATTCCCCAATCGTTCTAGCTGACTCCTGGTATTTGAAACCAATATATTAATTTTGGGGGTACTTTACATGAAGCCCCTGGGACATTTTCAAAATTTAAAGAAAGGTTCCAAATTTTTGGGTTAAATATTGTTGGTGAATAGTGCAGTGGGCGTTCAACAGAATGATGGAGTTCTCATTTTATTTGACATCCCAGATTTATCGAAAATTGAAAAAAATAATTTAAAACTTCGAAATTGAAGATAATATATTTTTGTCTCAAAGTCTTTTGTACAAAAATAGCTCTTTAAAAAAGATCATTGACAATATTTTGAAATAATAGTAGTTTTGCGTAATTTATGCTTGAAATTAATGAAATGCAATGGTGGTTTTTATCACCTTCCTCACTTGTTTTTCAACTGAAATCTTTGAATAGTGTATTTCTTTTTCTCTATTTTGTATTCATAATGAATTTTAATATTAGTTTATCACATTGTATCCGTTTTTTATGATTTGAAATAATTATACTGTTTTTTTAGTATTTTAACACTACATAAAAGACGTAGGATCTTACTGCAAATATAAAAAATATATTTGAAGGTTAAAAAAAGATTCAAAATGAAATTAATTGTAACAAAATATAGTTCTGCACTTCTGTTTTTGTAGCTACAAACACTTAATTGTATCAGAAAAATCCATAGGTGCCATTAATATTTCGTTGGCACGCCACATGTTTTGATTATTGCCTGGCATCGATATAATTAAATTATAAACGAATTCCTTGCTCAATTCATGAAACCACACTCGCGCAAGCCTCTAGTAATTCAGTTTCATTTCTGGTTTTCATTTTCGCCACAACATTCCCCATAACCTCCATACATTATACAAATACCTGCGTTCACCTGACTTACCTTTAAAGCTTTGTGACAAGGAGGAGAATCGTCTTGAAAAATGCAACATGAAGCATCATCAAAATGGTCTCTAATATTTGGCATCAGATTCCTTTCAAGGATATTTTTATAGACATCTCCAGTAACAGAGCCTTTTATGAAGTCACCAATCCCATAGAGAGAAACGCATCCTCAGATAATTTGTACTCCTGTATGCTTCAGAGTTTGCATGATTCATTAGATTTATTATTATTAATTCTGCAATTAAATATCCCGCAATTTGGGGACAGAAAATGTTTACTTTACGGGAATTAAGATTACACTGACTAACAATAAATTGCAAGAGAGTAGTTAATTAAATACAATAATTAATAATAAATAGTACAAAATTTCACCGCAAGTCTTACTACACATCACTTCAGTTGATGAATGGATAAAATCGTTATTTTGTTTGAACGGTTCTTTATACGGTCGTTCTTTTTAGTGAACTAGTTCAAAAGAACGAGAGAGTTCGTTTATTTTGGTGACATAGACAGAGATGCCATATTGGGCAAAAAACAAGCGTTGACTTTCTGGAAGAAATGAATGGATTTTGCGGGATTCCATCCATTGTTTTCTGGGAGAATTTTGGGTGGTGTGCGTTTCTTTCTTACTTACATCGTCAATAATATTTGCATTTTCCCACAAATTGTACACGTATTGATCGCTTCCGAAAGAAATGGTCTATGTACAAGTGTTTTAGTTTTGAAAATTGTGTATATAAGCAGCTATTATGAATATATATATATATATATATATATATATATNTATATATATATATATATATATATATTTACGAAATTTAGTTTTAAACTTCCAGTGAACGTGCAGCTTTTTTGAAATGATCAGCCCCGCTGTCAGAGTCAATTTCATTTACCTTTCTTCCCCACAAGGTTATTTAGCGGAATTTTTATCCTTATCTCGGCGAATTTTCCTATAAGGAATGGACGAAACCCTGGACAACCCTGGACGAAAGTGTTTTTTCAGCGTTGAATTGAATTTTTTTCTGTGATCATAGGTCGAGGCCAAAAAATCAACCGAGACGCTGCAAAAAAACACACTTTGTTCACGAACATTTCTTTTACGACTGTATAAAAATAATACAACAACATATGGAAAAGTTCGTAATTTCATATGGAAATTAGGTGTTTAATATCTCGGGGAATAGCAGTATGTTAAAGAGAGTCATTAAGGCATACGTCGTTTAATTTCTATGAATGTTGTAACTTTAATTCACGATAACAACACACCTGTCTTGGCGAACTTTTGTTTTACTGGATATTAAAAAATAGCCTATTTCACGTGCTGTTAGCAATGCGCAGAATCGCTTTTATTATAGAGTTGTAGAATTACTTATTTATGGTAAGAATGATAAATGTTGCATACAATTTTGCGTGTAGGAAATGTTGGAACACAACTCTGGTAAGTCCATTGCCGCAATCCTACGAAAAAAATAAAATACCTTACGAGTGTCATACACTATATTGTTTACAGCCTTTTTGTCTTTCATTATATTTTAATTCAATTATACAAATCAAATATATCTTGTATTAAGATCAACAGTAGCTCATGCGATGAGACGAAAGTATTTTATTCTTCACAATTTCAACTGAATATTGCTTTACTTTTAGCGTTTGTGTCACAAATTGAACTTTTACCACGCTTTGCGTGGAAACAATAAACTAGTCAATGAAATCACAGTAAACTGTAATCGTTAAACCAAACCAAAAGCCAAAAACGTAAAGTATGGTAATAATATATTAGCAAACCACTAATTAACACACTTGCACGAAAATAACTTCGACTGTTTTGAATGTACGAGGTGGGAGATGGTAGCACTGGAAATTGATACGTGCCGTTCCGAGTCGGACCTAAGAATTTCAACAGGCCGTGCTATTGAGCGCTGGGCATGGGCCCGTGTATCAAGAAAACTTGCTCGATCAGTACAGTGCCTTATGAGCTTTTCCAGTAAATAAATATACCCCGTGTTTTTTAAGATTTCAAAACCGGTTTAAACCATTATTAACATCATTTTTCATCACAACAATTACTTTATTAAAATAATACCTCGAATGCATTATGTATTTACCACAAATCGTAGTGAATTTCTTTCGAATTTACATTTTGTTTGAAGGAAGGGATACGTATGGCTGTTGGGTCCGTCGCAGCTGCGGTGTCGCGTGTTTCGGTAGCTCTCTGATATATACTCTCTCTGATGATATGATACTATGATATATACTCTCTGTTCTGTAGTCCTATCCAATTGTGCACAGGAAGTTTGCGTTCCGATTGTTTACAAGTGTGTGTTTGCCTGTGAAACTCCTGTCCACATTCAATCTGAAAGATATGTTCTATGTACATATGCCATTTTACGATCAATCCCTAATAAATTAGGAGGAGTAATTGCATCTATTGTTATCCTATGCATTTTACCTTTCACATCTAATAATAAATTCCGAAGAATTTATTCTCTCCTTGTGGAATCCCTGACGTAACACTTGCAGATGTTGATAAATAACTTCCGATTCGATTTTTTTTACCTATCGCGTAATAGTTCGTTTTGCCAAGCCACCACCTTTGTGTCTTTACCAGAATCTATTAATTTGATTACAAGACAATTCTTATCCTCGGAACATCAAAAGGTTTGGAAAAATCTATTACTATCGCTTATACCCTTCCATATTTATCAATTTCTTCGGCTAGGTCCTGTAGAAGTGAGACAAGCTGACATTTGCAACAGAAACCATTCCTGAAAACGTGCT